AATAATTAACCGACACTACGTACTTTCGAAATAAATTTATTTGGTGTTATGTTAAATATATAATATGTAACAGGTTTGAAAACAAACAATTTGGAATAAATATTTGTGTTCCATCATAATTTATTTATTGTTCCTCCTTTTAATGAGCATAATCATTTCTATTCCTAGAAAAATTGTAAAAAGTCCATTTTTTGTATTATCAATCAAGACGACCAATAAACTATTTTGGTAGGAATAAATATTTATTTAACAATTCAACATTCACCCAACACCTATTTACTATGCTCTTCCTAGTGTGTTAGCACCTATCATGGCCTGTTCAACAAATTATTTTGATAGAAATACATGCTCATCACTTTTTTTTGCTTGAAAGTTTGTTTAATTAACACTTCATACTTTCCTACATCAAACAACTTTCCTGGCACGCTGAGCGCCGACCGTGATCTTGACGACCGTTGGTTCATGGATGCTCCTCACTCTATTAATAAAATATAACCCACTATCTAATCGATCAATCCGAGAAAAGAATTCAAAAGTTTTTATTTCACGTTTTTCTACAAACTAGAAAATTATAAATTGTCATGAAACTCATATATTTGGAAACTCTCTCAGCAGTTATTTTTGATCGATGTTTGAATAAATCGTTGACGCCGGCAGAAAATTCATTTTCTAATTTCAGTCGAAAAATGCAAAAAAGCTAAGATGGTAGACGTAAAATAAAGCTAAAGAAAAAGAAAAATCGAATGCATGCCAATTTAAGTTTCCTTTTTATAAACGAAATAGCATAGCTGGCCATAATAATAGAATGGCAACTTGCGGGTTGATAGTTACTCCAAATAAATATAAACAATTTAATTAATATTTTGCAAAAATAAAATTAAAACATCGTGATTTTATTCTCATCTTCTAGAACTCATTCAGTAATCTCTTACTTACAATATAAAAATAGTTGTCAATCACATATATTAATGCTCATATAATCCTTACTAATAAACCAAGATAAAATAAAATGGTATCATGAACCAAAAGCTGAACAGGCCATAGTAGCTGCTACCACACTATGAAAAGCATGTTAAATAGGTGTTGAGTTGTTAAGTAAATGTGTTTCTTCGTAAAAAGAGTAAAATGTAATTAAAAATTAAAAAGGATAAACTTCTTTGTTGGCCCGGAGCCAACCTCCTCTATTTAATCACTTAAATACCCCTGTTGCAATATGTATCAGCCCAACATTCTTAATTTTCAATTACATTCATTCTTTTATTGAACGAAATGTACGATTGTTATCTATACAAAGTATTGCATCCAGTTAAAAATCAACTTTTCGGTCCTTGCAGAGAATTACAATACCACAAAATTAATTGAAGTAAAACAGAATTAATAACAAAAGAATAAATCCTATTAAATGTACTTTAATTAATATTTTGGTTTATAACCGGAATAGCACGGCTCATATCAGGTTGATGCATTCATCTGTGAATATTATATCGTGTATAATAAATAATTCATTGTTTATCCATCAATGAAGAACGTTTAGGCGGAGCAAAACAAATTTCTTTGATTATAAAGTTTTAGTCTGAACTATAAAATGTGATGGTATTAGTCGTATGTTTGTATCGTACGATGGCAATTAATCTATGTAGATGAGTGTTTGTATGGACCATTCATAAACTAATGGTTAAGAGAAGAAAGAAAAATAATAAAGCAGTCAAGTATTGGATATTATACAATAATCAATGCTATTTAAATATATTCTTTTCATTGTCTGAGGCTTGGAAATGTTTGTTGTATTTAATTTATTAATATTACGTGTTATGATACACGCTCTGTATCACCAATAAGATACTCAATAGAATATAAATGCTCACTTAAACAGCCCTATGCAAGATTCAACCATAAATAAAAGTACGTTTCTTGATAGTACCATTATTAGCATATAGACAAGCACTTCTTGTGCCATAATCAAAGGCTGTTGGTTATAGTCAGCCTAACCGATTAGAAGAGTGTGTACGAGGTGAACAATTAAAAATCATCAATAAAAAAGTATTTTCGTGCGTTCGTCTAATTGATTATTTTATGTTCATTTAAACATTTATTAAAAGCATTTACGATTAAGAGAACATAATCTTGAGGCAGATCAAGTGGTGATAGTGTAGTCGGTTATCACATCCGCCTAACACGCGGGAGGTCCTCGGTTCAATTCCGAGTCACCACACTCTTTTTTATGTTTTGAGATAGATCAAAACACTCTTTTTTATACTTTGAGATAGAATAAAACTTTTAAATAAAAATATTCTTAGTGCTAAGTGATTATCGTTTTATAATGGTAATAGCACTTCCTGTCATAAATGCGTTTATTTTCTGTTATACATCACTTACGTGTAGAATCCTTGTGACAACTATTTCTTACGTTTTCATCATCATTTATTTAAAATATTTTTTGCTTTGTTCTACACCTAAACTAATTTTACGTTCATTTCTCTGTTGTTTGTTTCTCTTCTACTATAAATCAAGCATAAACAGCATTTAAATACTTATCGTTCTACGTATTTCACATAAACACTGCTCTAATCCACTAATGCTGTCCATAACCACCAGCCCTTGTTCATAAAGTTTATTATGCTTTACAACATTTATTTATTCTACATTCCTAAACCATCCTTATCATTTTATATACGAATGCTTAACACCACTACGTTACGGCACGTACACGTACCGCCCATCATCACACACCACGATGCCCTTCTCAACCGCAACCTTCAATCCCTCCTCAACACCCTCCCCTATAATACTTCCTAACTCAGCCCCACTCATCTCCTTCCTACGCTTCATCAACCGGCATATTCTCGATAACACTATGCTGTCATTGCTCGTACTCTGTTTAAACGGCTTTGACCGTGGTTTAGAGCATTTAAGATCCGCAGTAAGATCCTTTGTTAATTCGTAAGCACCAGCCGCATGAACAAATCTATAACTTAGTTCGTTATCATTCGCATTAATACAGCCTTGTTCATTCATGCACGTATTATTTCTGTTTATGCGCATATCACCGTTATTATCCCTTTGTGCACTTAACCATTCACTCAGCACGTACACATCACCATTCAGTACAATAACACCCTGCTCAGCCATTCTATTTACGTTATCCCATACGCATTCTGTATCGCCCATCGTATTTATCAGGTCAGTTACACGGCCCTGTCCCTTTCTCAGCACAGCAAACATAACCAAATTTATGCGTAGTATGACTGTGCCTATGCGTACGTCCATTGTGCTCAGCTCGTAATCGTAAATAAGTTTATGCGTGCTGTGCGTTGAATTATAGAACGTTTTAAATGAGGAGAGTTCTTTTAAGGGTGGATATTTAAGGCAACGTGGTGTTAACGGCCACATATGGCTTGTAAGTATGCGATGATGTATCGGTTGTTTAAGTGTAATGGTGTTACTAGTAAGATTAATGATGTTATTACTGTTAAAATTATAACTGGTAAGATTATTAATGTTATTACTGGTAGGATTATTGATGGAGTTATTTGCATTCTTATTTTGTTCATGCACAACCTTATTTTCAACCTTATTCTCATTCTTATTCTCAACCTTATTTGCATTCCTATGTTCAACCTTATTCTCAACCTTATTTTGTTCATGCATAATATTATCCTCCGTATCGCCATACATCCCCACATACAACCTCTTACACGCATTACCACCCATCATATACCCATTCACGCGTTCATAATCCTCCATCAATCCACAACTACGTACTACATCACTCAACATATGCTCACACTTCCTGAACAGATTAGGAACGAAGTACGGCTTAAGCTGTTCTAATACTTCACGCTCTCTGCTCACGTGCACTACGTGTGATAACAGACGGGTCATCATTTTCTTTTCATATTGAGTGATGAAGATGTCCGTGTTGGTGTATGGCAGCATGTTGAGAAGTGGTTGTGGGATGATGGGATGGAATGGCTTAGCAGTGCTTAATACGTTTTGATTGTTTATGCAAGTAGCATTAATATTAACATTAGAATTGTTTTTTATGCTATCAATATTAACATTAGAATTATTATTGTTTATGCAATC